CCCCTCTGCCAGCCTCTCTGGACTCTGCTACACTTTCTGGGTGGCCTGCCTTGCTTCTCCCCACGGGAGGACGGGGATTCCATTCATTGGCCAACACCTGGAAGGCTCCCTGTTGAGGAGGAACTCTGTGGGACATCCCCCCCACCCCCCACCCCGGCTATCGGTGTCCCGCAGACGGGAGGGCAGGGCTGGGTCCGGGGCAGCATCTGCAGAGACTCAGAGCCGTTCTCATCACAGGGAGCAGAGGGTGACGCCTGCGAAAGGGCGGTCTGCAGACCAGCCAGCGTCGGCCTCAGTCCTGGGAGCAGGGGTCCCTGGGAGGGGAACAATGCTTGACTGACAGCCCTTTGAAACGGGCTCCTTCCTCCAGCCCGACTGCCCAGCTGCTGGGGCCCCGGCCTCCGGGACTTTGAGGGGCAGAAGCCCCCTGCTGCCTGCCAGGTGGACAGGAAATCAGCCAGAGCTGCAGCATGAATGGTCTGAGGAATGGAGGGATGAGAACCAGGGTTGTCACAACGAGCCCAGCCCCGGTCCCACCCAGCTCCCCGAGGCTCACCCAGGCTATGCAGGTGGCTCCGGGCGGGATGAGATGAGAAGTGACGGGACAGCCTGTCTCTGTGGTTCCAGGAAGAGCAGAACCGAGGGCTGTGGAGCCCCGGCCCCGGCCCCCCAGGGGACCAGGACACGCCAGGCGGATGAAGGGACAGCAGGTGACTGGGTGAGGCAGGAGGAGCTCTTCCCTCCCTCAGCCCCCAGCCCTCTCACAGCGGGTCAGCCTGGTCCAGAGCCGGCCTCCCTGTCCCACCTGCCCTCCCTGCTCAGGACAAGGGCCCCGCAGGCAGGGTTGGCAAAGGGGAACATGGGGCGAGGGCCAGTGTGGGGACTGCAGGCACTGAGAGGGCTGGAGGGAGACACGTGCGGGACCATCACAGGCCCAGCAGCCCGTCCTCAGCCCTGGCAGTTACAGGGCCACACGTCACAAGCAGACGGCGTGTGAGCACCTTTGGGAGCCTGATGAACTCTCGGGGCCAGGAGTCCATGGAAATTCAATCAGCCCGGCCAGCCTCCTCCTCTGGGTGCAGTGAGACAGGTGCAGGGGTGGGTGCTGTGGGGGAGGCGCTGCAGGGGTCCCCAGAGTTAGCAGACATCCCCCCCCCCGTCCATCCCCCAGCCACAGGCCTCAGGAGCCAGCTCCAAGGTCCTCCGGAACATCCAGGTGTCCGATTCTTCCTCCGGGGTCGGGGAGAGCAGTGGGTCCCATTGGGGGGGGGGGGGCGCTTCCAGTGGGGAATGGGGAGCAGTCTGCTCACCCCACCCTGCAGGGTTCAGAGTCAAAGCCTCCAGAACCCCTCAGTGCAGCAGGGACAGGGGGTGCCAGAACCTGCCCGGACCCCGAAGGGAAGAAAGGGGCAGTGACAGAACCAGGAAGTCCAAGGGGAGCCATGTGACGACTCCCAGCACAGGCCTGAGAATCGCATAAACGACCCCTCCCTGGTGTGACTGAGCCCCGGGGCCTCCGCTTGCCCTTCAGGAAGTGGCAGGAGCCGCGGCAGAGAGTTCTTGAAAGGACCGGGTGTTGTGAATTCACCCAAAGCGCCGAGCACGCCTCCTGCCTGCAGCACGTGCTCAAACGCTGTTGTTCCCGTGGCTTGAATGTGGGCTTCGAGCCAAGTCCTGGGGACTAGAGGCGTCATTTCGAGAGGACGCCGCAAAGGGCAGAGGTTTGTGCAGAGAAAGGAATTCTAGGCTCATTGGGGCCTGGATGCTGCTTACGCTGTTCTACGGGGTCGCGGCCCCAGCACTGTGGTCCTTGTGGGCCGGCCGGGCTGCCTCAGGGCCTGTCCTGTGCATCACAGGGTGTTCGCTCCTGGCCTCTGCCCAGTGGAGTCAGTAACACTGCCTGGTTTGTTTATTTTATTTTTTAAATGTTTTTATTAATTTCAGAGAGAAGAAGGGAGAGGGAGATAGAAACATCAGTGATGAGAGAGAATCATTGACCTGCTGCCCCCTGCACACCCCCTACTGGAGATGGAGCCCACAACCTGGGCATGTGCCCGAACTGGGAATTGAACCGGTGACCCCTTGGTTCCGGGGTCAATGCTCAGCTGCTGAGCCACACCCGGCTGGGCGTATTTTATTTTACTTTTATTTTATTTATTTATTTTACTTTATTTTATTTTATTTTATTTTATTTTATTTTTTTATTTATACTAGAGGCCTAGCACATGAAATTCGTGCACAGGTAGGGTCCCTAGGCCTGGCCTACGATCAGGGCCGATCTTCCCCAGCTGTCAGCAGCCAGCCCTGCCCCCGCTGTTGATGCTGGTCACCCTGTGTTTGTGGGGTGACCGGCAGGGCTGTCGGGGCCCCGCTCACTCACACCTGCCTTGGCCTGGCACTGCCCCCTCCGCTGCCACCCACCCTCGGTTCCCCATTCCCCACCGGGCGATCGGAGCCTGCCAGCTGGGGGAAGGGACCGAGAGGTTGGCCAGCAGGCCCCGATCGGGCAATGGGGGCCTGCAGGCAGCTCCTGCATTGAGCGTCTGCCCCCTGGTGGTCAGTGCACATCATAGCAACCGGTCGTTCCACCATCTGGTCGATCTGCATATTATGCTTTTATCCTATATGCAAATCGACCGGATGGCAGAACGACCCATTGGTGGGGGGTGGGGCCAGCGAGCAAAGGGAGGGGACTGCAATTGGGGGGCAGCGGTGACCAGCAGTGGCAGAGGGATGATGGGGTGGCGGCGAGGCTGGCGCCGTCCCTTGATTGGCCAGCCTGGTCACCTCCCGCAGAGAGAGGCCACCAGTGGCGGCGGAAGGGTGATGGGGGGGGCGGGGTCACCTTCCACAGAAGGAGGCCAGACTGAGGCCGTCAGTCGGACATCCCCCGAGGCTACCAGACTGTGAGAGGGCACAGGCCGGGCTGAGGGACCCCCCCCCCAAGTGCACGAATTTTCATGCACCAGACCTCTAGTATATATAGATTGTTGAGAGTATTACAAATGTCCTTCCTTTTTCTTCTCCCCTGTGACCCCCACCACCCAGTTCCCACCCCGCTCCCAGCCTTCACCACCCTATTGTCTGTGTTCAGGGGCCATGCATATATGCATATAAATTATTTGGTTAATTCCCTCCCCCTCCCCCCCCCCCCCCCCCCCCCCCGGTTCCCTTTGAAAATTTTCAGGCTGTTCCCAGTTTCCCTCCCCCCGGGAATATTTTTTTCCCCGGCGGGGGGGGGGGGGGGGATGGTGTTTTTTATTTTCGTAACCTTTACTACAGTTAGTTTATCTTTTTTTAAAAAATATGTTTTATTGATTTCAGAGAGGAAGGGAGAAGGAGAGAGAAACATCAATGATGAGAGAGAATCATTGATCGGCTGCCTCCTGCACACTTCCTACTGGGGATCGATCCTGAAACCTGGGCATGTGCCCTTGGCCGGAATCGAACCTGGGACCCTTCAGTCTGCAGGCCAACACTCTATCCACTGAGCCAAACCGGCTAGGGCTGTTCCTCAGTTTATTTTGTTCATTAGATTCCACATATATATAAGTGAGATCATGTAATACTTGTCTTTCTCTGACTGGCTTATTTTGCTTAGCGTAATATTCTCCACATCCCTCCATGCTGTCTCAAAGGGTAAGAGATCCTTCTTTTTCACAGCTGCATAGTATTCCACTGTGTAACTGTACCACAGCTTTTTTTATCCACTCATCTACTGATGGGCACTTGGGCTGTTTCCAGATCTTGGCTATTGTAAATAACGCTGCTATGAACATAGGGGTGCATTCTTTCTGATTGGCGTTTCGGGATAACACTGCCCAGTTTTGCCAACCCAGAATGTCCCCAGAATTGCCAACTACCCCCTGGGGGCAGAGTCCCCTCTGTCCCTGTGGAGAAGTACTGGGCGGCAGGGATGTCAGGGAGGGGTTTGGGAGTGGGCAAGTGGAGGAGGAGGGCTGCCCGGCTGCCCCCTCAAATGCTGCTTTTCTTGCAGGAGGAGCCCATGGCTGGACCCACCACCCACGTTGCTCCCATGCTGTTCCTTGCCCTCCTGGCGTTTCTGGAGCTGAGCCTGGCCGGCTCCCTGGGCCCCGGAACCCCTGCTCGAAACCTCCCTGAGAATCACATCAACCTCCCAGGCCCAGCACTGTGGACGCCTCAGGCCAGCCACCACCACCGGCGGGGCCTGGGCAAGAAGGAGCGGGGGCCAGGCATGCCTGGCCGGGCCCAGGATGGAGCTCTGGGCACCTCCACCAGGCAGGCCTCCAGGCTGCCAGGGGCAGGGGGGCTGCTGCCTGGGCAAAGTCCTGCAGGCCTGCTGCAGGACAAGAGTCTGCTCCTGGGGCTGGCCCTGCCCTACCCTGAGAAGGAGAACCGGTCTCCAGGGAAGAGACGCAGCAGGGAGCACAGGAGACGCAGGGAGAGGCTGAAACTGCACAGAGGTAGCTGGATATCTGGGATGGGTGGGGTGTTGAGATGGAAGGGAGGGCGGAGTGGGGGGCGGAGATGGCTTCAGGAGCAGGCCCGGAGGGGGTGCCCATGGTGTGAGGTCACTGGGAGGACATCCAGAGGCCCCAAAGGAGGCAGGCAATGGGCACTCAGAGGAGTGAGGGGGTCTCACTAAGGTCAGAGGGATCTGGCGAGGGGAGGAGCCTGGGAGAGGCAGGGAGGGACGTGTGGCCATAGATGCTCAGTCTTTTTTTTTTTTTTAATTGATTTTTTACAGAGAGGAAGGGAGAGGAAGGGAGAGGGATAGAGTCAGAAACATCGATGAGAGAGAAACATCGATCAGCTGCCTCCTGCACACCCCCTACTGGGGATGTGCCCGCAACCAAGGTACATGCCCTTGACCGGAATGGAACCCGGGACCCCTCAGTCCGCAGGCCGACGCTCTATCCACTGAGCCAAACCGGTTAGGGCGACGCTCGACTTTGCATCTGACCTGAATATACTGATTAGCCATGGACCAGTTCAGGGCCCTCCAAGGGCATCACTTCACCTCCGAGGCCCAGAGCAGGGCTGAGCGCATAGATTCTGAAGCCAGAATCCGCCCAAGTGACCAGCTGTATGAGTCACTGGCCTGTGCCTCAGTTTCTCCCTCTGCAAAATGAGGAAAATGGCCCCATCGAGCCTCAGCAGAGGCCCAGAGACCACCTGATACGTGGAGAGCTTGGGGCGGTGCCTGGCAGGCGGCAGGGACGGGGAGCCGTTGTTGCTAGGTGATGCTCAGCTTCTTCTTGATGCTGAACCAGTGTCCTCCAGCCTGGACACAGGTCCCAGGGGGAGGCGTCTCATCGCTATCGCTCCGGCCTCTGCCCTGTCTGTTCCCTGTGGAGCTCCCCATCCCCTTAGCCCTCCTCACCTTCCTTCACATCTCCAAGCCCCTGCGAGCATCTAGCTACCACTGTTCCCAGCGCCCCCGCCCCTTGCCCATTCCGTCTCTGAACAAACATTTCCCAGCAGCTACACTCAACCGGCTCCTCCCCAGGCTCACCTGGCCTCCAGCCCCAAACCGCAACCGCAGCTTCCAAGCCTCTTCCTGTGACAAGACTGCCTCTAGGGGCAGGGCTGGTGGTGCAGACACAGAGCACAGAGCGGAAGGGGTTCTGCAGGGGGAGCGTGGTGGAGCCTCAGCCCCGCCTCCCGCTGCAAACAGCTGGGGCTTGCTTTCCTGCCAGGCCTACTGGGACCCCCCACGTGGGCAGAGCACAGTCCCCAGGTGTATGCGTGTCGGGGGGCAGCTTAGATCCTCAGCCCCCTACTCCTGGATGCTGGCATCCTTGAGGACAAGCCAGAGGGCACACATGGGGTGTGGATCCATTCAGCTCAGCTCCAGCCCCCAGCTTCAGGGGACTGGTGGGGCCCTAAGAGAGCGAGTGGTGTGATTCAGGGGTTGAGCATCGACCTATGAACCAGGAGGTCACAGTTCAATTCCCCGTCAGGGCATATGCCAGGGTTGCAGGCTCGATCCCCAGTGGGGGGTGTGCAGGAGGCAGCCGATCAATGGTTCTCTCTCATCATTGATGTTTCTCTCTCCTCCTTTCCTCTGTGAAATCAATAAGAATATTTTAAGAGAGAGCGCAAAAGGAGGATGGGGCACGGGAGGTCTGGAGGCCAGGCCCAGCCCAGCCCAGCCCAGCTGACCAGCTGTGAAGCCTGGGAAATGAAAGGAACAGATTTGAAGGTCCCTAAGTGGCCTTTCTCATCTCTGGGATTCATTTCTGGAGAGTGGAGTGATCCCAACGACCCAACCAGCCTTACAGGCAGCTCTCGCCTGAGACAAAGAGGCAGGGAAGAGCCCGGCCCTCCAGCTTCTCTCGAAGCCCCGTGTTCCCGACCACCCCAACCCTGCCTGGTCACACTCACCTACCTCATGCCCATGTGTCTTGGAAGGCGGCATTGGTGGTTAAAAGTATTGATTTTATCCTCAGATGGAGCTGGGTTCGAATTCAAACTTCAGTATTTACCGGCGGTGTGCCCTCGGGGAGGTCTCCTAACCTCTCTGTGCTTCAGTTTCCTCCCTGGTGGATGAGGCTCACAGAGTACCTGCCTCCCAGAGCTCCTGCAGAGCTCATGAACTAATGCTAGTACCGCAGGACAGGGCATACACCGGGGTCCACACACACACAGGCACTCAGCAAACAGCGGGTGCTATCACCACGTAGCCAGCCTTCCCTCGTGTGTGATAAGCCTCAGCTCTCACCTTCCAGACTTCTCAAAGGCCTCTCCCCCTGCAACGCCTCTCAGCCTTATCTCGTTGCTCCTCTACTTAAGCTTGACCTCCTCCAGGAAGCCTTCCATGTTAATCCTACTAATTCCCATTTGTCGTACTTACACCCTGGGCTGCACCCAGCCATCCCAGACTTGGACTTGCTATAATGTTGCTTTAGATCAGCGGTTCTCAACCTGTGGGTCTTGACCCCTTTGGTGGTCGAACGACCCTTTCACAGGGGTCGCCTAAGACCATCCTGCATATCAGATATTTACATGACGATTCATAACAGTAGCAACATTACAGTTATGAAGTAGCAACGAAAATAATTTTATGGTTGGGTCACAACATGAGGAACTGTATTTAAAGGGCCAGAAGGCTGAGAACCACTGCTTTAGATTGAGAATCCCTGGGCTGTCCCCCCAGCAACACTGCAAGTTTACCCCAGACATTCCTCCGCCCCCAGACCCCGGTTTCCACCTTCCCAGGAGCGTGGGCAGCAGGGAGGTTTGGGAGCCAATGGCTAGCGAGGCTGTCAGGCTTGTCACGTGATGCCTCCACCCCCTTGTTTGCAGCGGGAAACGTGGGTTCTGCTTTGGGCTGATGCGGGGTGGTGAGCAGATAAAGGCCCTGTGTTTCCTGTTCCGTCTCTCAGGCCGAGCCTTGGTCCGAGGCCCCAGCTCCCTCATGAAGAAGGTGGAGCTGCCCGAAGACCAGGCGCTGGACGCTGCCATGGAGGAGTCGTCCACCAGCCTGGCCCCGACCATCCTCTACCTCACCACCTTTGAGGCAGCACCTGCCACGGAAGAGTCCCTGATCCTGCCTGTCACATCCCTGTGGCCCCAGGTAAGGCCTCGGAGCCAGAAGCGTCCTTGAGACCACATCATGCAAATCCCTCTGAGTCATTTAGGGAGACTGAGGCACGGGGGGTGGAAGGAAATTGGCGGAGGCCCCTGGGGTGAGCTGGAAACCAGGTCTCCTGGTGCCCGTCCAGCCCAGCTGCAGCCCGGCCGGCACTCTGTCCTGAAAGGGAGGCCACTGTCCAGGAGAAGGTGGTCCTGGGGGCTCACTCTGGGGACAGCCAGGGAAGCCAGTGCCCGCTCAGCACACCGGTCTCTGCATGGAGAAGAGCAGGGTCCTTGGCAGAGAATTTTATGCAGAAAGAAAGTACAGAGAATAACAGCACCGCAGAAAGCCCCGTCCCCACAACCCAGAAGTAACCAGTGTTAGTTAACACATCTGCTTCGGACCTTTACAGAGATGTATGGAGAGAGCAGGTGAGTTCTTGTGGCCAATTTGCTTCCACCCGCAAATAGAGGAAGGGAACATGGGAGTTCATTGCATCATCCTTGCGATTAGCAAGATACGCATCATTGCACCTCTTGTGTAGCTTTGCAGTATTTTCCAAAATAATATCACGTAGCCCTAGCTGGTTTGGCTCAGTAGATAGAGGGTAGTCCTGTGGACTGAAGGGTCCCGGGTTTGATTCTGGTCAAGGGCACATGCCCCGGTTGCAGGCTCGATCCCCAGTGGGGGGCATGCAGGAGGCAGCTGATCAATGATTCTCTCTCATCATTGATGTTTCTATATCTCTCTCTCCCTCTCCCTTCCTCTCTGAAATCAATAAAAATATATTTAAAGTAATAATATCATCTAAAATGATCAATAAAGTATATGTAGAAGAAAAGAACTTTACTTTTTAGCAGAAGATCTTTCTTATTCTCTTTTGGGGTCTTGCACCCCCTGAGATTCTGAGAAAAGCTGTGAACCATCCCCAAAGAAGACCTGGTTACCCCTGCCGTCACAGGCCCCCTGAAGTCCATGCCCTGGGCACCAGCCCTGAAAGGCAGCTTTATTGCCATGTCCTACTGTGGCAGATCCAGCCCCGACGGCTGGCCCGGGGCTGTGAGTGCAACAGAGCTGTGGCCATGGCTCAGCGGTGCCCTGATAACTTCCCCAGGGAAAGAGGGGCAGGGAAGTGAGCAGCTGGCTTCATCCAACTCCCTCTTTGTGGATGTAGAGACCTGAGCAGGCCTTCCCAGCCCCTCCCTCAGAGGCCCGATGGGTGACCCCTCTGTCTGCATCGGTCGCCTGTAGGCACCTTTCTGCCTGGATGTGAAGTGAGGACAGTACCCTAGTGGCTGCTACAGCAGGGACCTCGGTGACTGGATGTCCCGGGGCTGGGCTTCTCGCAGAGGGTGAGCTGGCCTCTGAGGAGCCCCTCCTTTGCCCTCTGGACCTGGGGCCCCACATTTCTGTTTCCACCTGTTGGGGCTCCATGTTCCCTCCTCTCCACCCACCTTCTGCAGGCTCAGCCCAGGCCTGACGGGGAGGTGATGCCCACGCTGGACATGGCCTTGTTCGACTGGACCGATTATGAAGACTTAAAACCTGAGGCCTGGCCCTCTGCCAAAAAGAAAGGTACGTTCACCCAACCGGCAGGCTGAGAGGTTGAGCGTCAACCTATGACCTAGGACAGCGATGGCGAACCTTTTGAGCTCGGCATGTCAGCATTTTGAAAAACCCTAACTTAACTCTGGTGCCGTGTCACATATAGAAATTTTTTGATATTTGCAACCACAGTAAAACAAAGACTTATATTTTTGATATTTATTTTATACTAGAGGCCTGGTGCACAAAAATTTGTGCACTCGGGGGTGGGGGGGTCCCCCAGTCCGGCCTGTGCCCTCTCACAGTCTGGGACCCCTCGGGAGATAACGACCTGATGGCTTAGGCCTGCTCCCGGGTGGCAGAGGGCAGGCCCAATCCCTAAGTGCAGCCCCTGGTCAGGCTCAGAGCAGGGCCGATTGGGGAGTTGGGGTGCCGCCCCATCATGCACAGAGAAGGGCGGATCGGGAGGTTGCAATGCCACCCTCAGTCACGCTCAGGGTAGACTGATTGGGGGGTTGGGGCACCGCCCCCTGTTATACTCAAGGCAGGGTCCATGGGGAGGTTGCGGCGCCACCCCCTGTCACAGAGCAGGGCCAATCAGGGGGTTGGGGCGCTGCTCCCTGTCACTCACAGAGCAGGGCCGATCAGGGGGTTGGGGCGCTGCCCCCTGTCACTAACAGAGCAGGGTCCATCAGGGGGGTTGGGGCACTGCCCCCTGTCACTCACAGAGCAGGGCCCATCAGGGGGTTGAGGAGCTCCCCCCTGTCACTCACAGAGTAGGGCCGATAGGGGAGCTGGGGCGCTGCCCCCTGTCACACACAGAGCAGGGCGGATCAAGGGGTTGGGGCGCTGCACCCTGTCACACTCAGGGCAGGGCCAATGGGGAGGTTATGGCTCTACCCTGTCACACACAGAGCAAGGCCCGTGGAGGGGGGTTGGGGCGCCGCCCTCTATTACCCACAGAGCAGGGCCGATCAGGGGGTTGGGGCACCGCCACTGTCACACTCAGGGCAGGGCCGATGGAGAGGTTATGGTTCTACCCTGTCACACACAGAGCAGGGCCGATCAGGGGGTTGGTGCGTTGCACCCTGTCACACACAGAGCCGCAGGGCAATCGGGGGATTGGGGAGCTCCCCCCCTATCAGGCACAGAGCAGGGCTGATCAGGGGGTTTGGGCGCTGCCCCCTGTCACGCTGATCCCAGTGCCAGGAGCCTCGCTGCTCTGCTGATCCCAGTGCCGGGAGCCTCACTGCTCCGCTGATCCCGGTGCCGGGAGGCATATTACCCTTTTACTATATAGAATAGAGGCCTGGTGCACGGGTAGGGACCGGCTGGTTTGCCCTGAAGGGTGTCCTGGATCAGGGTGGGGGTCCCCACTGGGGTGCCTGGCCAGGCTGGCTGAGGGGCTGAGGGATGTTTTCCCGCTGGCAGTTGACTAAAAGCTCCCAACCGCTCCTTGTTTTCTTTTTTTTTTTTTTTATTCTGGGCCAGCTTTAGCTCTGAGGCCTCGCTGCTGAAAACATGGATACAATGTTGCGGTCCGGGGCTGACTGACAGCCAGTTTTGTTTAGCTTCTTATTTGCAACATAGTAATAGTTGCTTAGAGTTGCAGTTGAGAGGCCGGAAAGTGAGGTGGGAACGTTGGAGTCTGCAGTTCCTGGAGGAAGCAAGCCTCCCTGCTCGCTTCAGTGCCTGGCTGCCGGCCGCCATCTTGGCTGACAGTTAATTTTCATAAGGATACGCTGATTAGCCAATGGGAAGGGTAGCGGTCGTACGCCAATTACCATGTTTCTCTTTTATTAGTGTAGATATTTAAATGCCATTTAACAAAGAAAAATCAACCAAAAAAATGAGTTCGCGTGTCACCTCTGACACGCGTGTCATAGGTTCACCATCACTGACCTAGGAGGTCACAGTTTGATTCCCAGTTAGGGCACATGCCTGGGTTGTGGGTTCGATCCCCAGTAGGGGATGTGCAGGAGGCAGCTGATTAATGATTCTCTCTCATCATTGATGGTTTTTTCTCTCTCCCTCTCCCTTTTTCTCTGAAATGAATAAAAGTATAAAAAATTAAACAATTTAAAAAATCTTAAAAAACAAACAAACATGAAAGGTACATCCACCTACCCACCACCCCCGTGCCTGGGCTCCCTCCCCTCCCCCAGCCTGACCTACAGATGTCCAAAGTGGGGGATGGGTGGGGCATGGAGTCCACACTGCAACGCGCACCCCACAGGGAAATACCACTATCGAGGACTTATCAAGTGCCAAACTCATTCCATGTGTCAACTCATTTGACCCTAAAAAAAAAGGTTAGGTCTGTGCTATCCATGAGCCCGGTTTAGAGAAGGGACGGCTGCGGCGGAGTCCCCGCCACACTGGGATGGCGGTGCGTGCGCTCCGACACCAGCATCCGTGTGCTTGCTCTCGGCCCCGCTGGGCGCAGCGGCTGACCGCGATCTTCTTGTCCCCAGAGAAGAACCCGGGGTAAACTCTTCAAGTGATGGGCAATGAGACATCCCCAGCCGAAGGGGAGCCGTGCGACCATCACCACGACTGCCTGCCAGGTACCGACAGCGTCACGTTCAAGGCACCAGCTGGGTGCTTGGGTGCTGGGGGCCTGAGGGGGCGTGAGGTGGACCTTCCCAGGCCCACGAGGAGGCCTGTGGGTTCAGGAACCGTCTCGGGGTAATAAGTAGGAACAACTTCCAGCTACCCCTTTCCCTGAGAGTTGCTGGAACATTGATTTTCATCCTCAGAGCAACCCGGAGAAAGAGACCCTGTCACCCCCAATTTTCAGGCAAGGAAACAGCCTCAGAGGGTGAGTCTCAGCCAAGGTCACACGGCTGGGAAGTGGCTCAACCCTAAGTCGGCCTGAGGAGCCACTGCCCCGTGCGCTGCCTTAAGTCCGGCTGACCCCGCCCTCCACTTCCTCCTAAAGTCTGGTGGGGCTCAATGCTGCCCTTGGCCCATCACTGCCCGGCTTTCTGTGGATGTTCCCGTGGCATCCTCGCCCGCTCGGCAGCTGTGCCCATCAACACCCTGAAAGCAAGGGGCTGGTGTTTTGACTGATGCCCTAACCTCCAGGGGCATCTACTGAGGTGGAGTTAGATGTGTAGGAGGTTAGGGGGCAGGGGTGGGGGGTAAGGTCTCAGGGTGATAAGAGGGGGAGGAGCAGGAATGGCAGGGGAACCTGGGATGCAGTCTTGGTCCGGCCCTGTTACCCCTTCCTCCCTCCCCCGCCATCGCTGGGACTGCTCAAGAGATAGCGTGACATGGGCCCAGGGCAGTGATGGCGAACCTTTTGAGCTCGGCCTGTCAGCATTTTGAAAAACCCTAACTTAACTCTGGTGCCGTGACACACATAGAAATTTTTTGATATTTGCAACCGCAGTAAAACAAAGACTTATATTTTTGATATTTATTTTATATATTTAAATGCCATTTAACAAAGAAAAATCAACCAAAAAAAATGAGTTCGCGTGTCACCTCTGGCACGCGTGTCATAGGTTCACCATCCCTGGCCCAGGGTGACATCCTGAAGATGCTAACAGCTAACTGCTCTCCTCGCTGCTGGACAGCAAGTGCCACCTGGATCTTGGGGGGAGAGCCGAGTGGTACACCCCCAGGGGGACACATTGCTCATTCAGTGGCCGGGATAGTCTACAAAACCGCCATCGCATCAGCGTTTGGCGTTGTGTGGGCCAGACCACCAGCTCCCCGACCGGCAGTTTTCTTTCCAAACCATTGTCTTCACCCGGAGCAGAAAGAAAAGGCTGGCGTTCGGGCCAACTGGACAGTCGCTCTGAGAGGGGGCTCCATGGTGGGCGGGGCGGGCCTGCCTTGGGGGGATCTCACTGCTTCCCGGCGGGCGGGGGGGGGGGGGGCCTTCCGTTTCTCCATCTGTCAAAAGAGGACGTTGGTGTCAACGATCCTTGAGGCGCCCCAGCTCCACGCTGACTCCACACCTGGCAGCCCCCAGCTGTTCCGCCCGCTGTCCCCGGGAGGTGATCCCACAGTGCTCCGCTCCTCCCATGATCAATCAATTGTCCGTCTAGGGCAGCTGGGTCTCTGCCACCCGCCCGCAAGGCCCTGGGCCGTGACATCCGTCAGTGGTTCCGGCTGGGAGCCTTGCACACCAGATGGCCCCACCCCGCCAGGGCACGGCCCTGCCGCAGCGATGATGGATCTCCTGTCTGGTGGGACCGTGGGGAGGGTCCCCTCAGCTTGGCTGACCACGTGTGCTTGCTGTGTTGGCAGGGACCTGCTGTGACCTGCGGGGGCACATCTGCATGCCCCACAACCGGGGCCTCAACAACAAATGCTTCGACGACTGCATGTGTGCGGAAGGTGAGCCTGGACTCCCCCCAGCGGGGGCGGTGGGGGGGGGGGTGCATCCCTCATGCTCTGACGCTGGTTCTGCACGGAGCCGGGATGCTATTTCGTGGCGGAGGTGGCCCGAGGGGCCTGCGGCAAAGGAGGGGTGGGAGAATCCCTTGGGAGCCGACGCCATGAGCATCAGTGCCTTCCCAATCTGTGAGCTCATTTAGTCTCCAGTCCTGGTATCGTTTCTCAGGTTTGCTTTTCTCACCTCTCAAAATACAAGCTGGCTTGATCTCCCGTGATCGGGAGGCGGGAGAAGGGAGGAGAGAGGAGACTATCTCTTTAAATAAGATCAAACCCGAGAAGGCTGGTGCTTTCAGGCCAGAATTCTACCCCCGGGAGGCATTCCAAGTGCGATATCGGGCTGGGGGGTGGGTTTCCCAGCACGACTCGGCGAAGGATGCACTTGGCTGGCCGGCTGCTGCTTTAACCTCTGAGCTCCCACCCAGAGCAGTAGGCGCCTCCTGCCCAGGCGGCCGGGCTCTGTGCTGAGCACTTGACTCTCATTATCCTCCTCCCCCTCCTTAATCCTGAATCCTCACGCCTTCTTAATCCTCACAGCCATCCAGGGAGGGAGGATTATGATCTCCATTTTACACATCAGCAAACAGGCACAGAGAGGTTAAGTGACTTGCCCAAACTCACACAGCTGGAAAAGGAGGAGAACATTTTTAATTTTGTGTTCTGAAACTTTTCAAGCATATGTGAAGTAGTCGGAATATTAGTCACTATAATAATGAACCCCTGTTTCCCACCACCCAGCTTCAATAATTGCCAACTCACTGCCAATCTGTGTGGTCTCTCCCCTGCCCAGTCCCCCATTCCAATATAATTTTGATGCAACTCCTGGGAGTTTTGAGAGATTTTATCTGTGAATATTTCAGTGTCTGTCTCTGAAAGATAAGTACTCTTTTAAGAACAAAATACCAAAAATGAGCAATAATTACTCAGTATCATCCAGTATCCAATTAGTGTTCGTATGTCCTGAGTGGGAGGATTTGGTCTTGGTGCCTCTATTAACCATCCTCAGATACATGCCCTATTTTGGCTCACAGCAGGCTATCAGTTATCTGCTGTGAAAGCAATAACACTGTGTACATCCCATTATTCATGCATCCATTCGTTCAGGAAATACTTACTGAGCACCTACCATGTGTCTGGTACTGTTCTGGGATTCAGCAGCTAAAAGAAGAAGCAAGTTCTGCCCTGCCGGTTTGGCTCAGTGGATAGAGCATTGGCCTGCGGACTGAAGGGTCCCAGGTTCGATTCCGGTCAAGGGCATGTATCTTGGTTGCGGGCACATCCCCAGTGGGAGGTGTGCAGGAGGCAGCTGATTGATGTTTCTCTCATTGATGTTTTTGACTCTCTATCCCTCTCCCTTCCTCTCTGTAAAAAAAATCAATAAAATATATTTTTTTAAAAAGGAGCAAGTTCTGCACCCAGAGTCCATTTCAGCGAGACGAGATCTTACCTCCCTGCCCAGTGAGATGAGATGCCTTTAGAAGCAATAAGGGCTGCGAGGAGAATAGCCCGGAGGTCTGCTGAAAAGTCTGGGTTGTTACAAAGGAGGGGCAGGAGTGGACAGTGGAACCAGCCACCTGAAGATGGTGGCTGTCAGGGAGACCGTCCCAGGCGAGCGGCAGGGGAAAGGCAAGGACCTCGGGCAGGAGCAAGGCTGGTGTGTGGACTGGGCACACGGTGGCCACGGGGAAGGTGGCACACAGGGAGGTGGGGGAAGCTTGTTGGGAGGCTCATGCAGAACCTTGTTGGCCTTGTTTGATTTCTAATCGGAAGTTGCAGGCAGGTTGTAACCAGGGGCGTGACATGGTCTGGCTTTGGGGTTAACAGTTCACTGTGACTGTAGGGCTGTGGGGGGCAGGAATGGAGACAGGAAGGACCAGCTGGGAGGGGAGAGGGGATGGAGGCAGCAGGCGTGGAAGATGGGGGGATGCTGGGCAGCTGCCTTCTGGTACTTGGATGCAGGATCGAGGCCCCATTTCACAGAGGAGGAGACTGAGGTGCCGAGCGGGCAGGAGGCACTCCAGTCCAGGGAGCCCAGAACAGCGTTGGGGCCAAACCTCAGTCCTTGGCCTCCAGGTCCAGCCCACCTAAGTAGAGGGACTTGGCCCTACTGAGCTGCACATGCCCAGTGGTGCCTGGCTGGATGCTCAGTGGTGGCCCCTCTGCCCAGGAATCAATCCATTCCCCCTCCCTCCCTCCCTTCCTCTCTTCCTTCCTTCCCTCCTTCCTTCCTTATTTTCCCCCTTCCTCTCTCTCTCCCTCCCTCCCTGGGCCTCAGGTGGGAGGGGACGGCTTTCCAGGCTTCCAAAGGCTCTGTCTACAAACAAAGCCCCATCTGCTCATTTCCGCTGGCCCCACACTGGTCGGCTCCATCAAAACTCTTGCTTCCTCCCTGGAGACTCGGGCTCAAAAAAATGAAGAGTGGAAGCGACAGTTCAGGCAGCTCATTAAAGATGGTCCAATGCCCTGACCGGTTTGGCTCAGTGGATAGAGCGTCGGCCTGCGGACTGAGGGGTCCCGGGTTCGATTCTGGTCAAGGGCATGCACCTTGGTTGTGGGCACATCCCCAGTAGGGGGTGTGCAGGAGGCAGCTGATCGATGTTTCTCTCCCATCGATGTTTCTAATTCTCTATCCCTCTCCCTTCCTCTCTGTAAAAAATCAATAAAATATATATTTTTTTAAAAAAATAAAGATGGTCCAAGAAGAGGTTGTCACTGAGATGCCACACCGGAGGGATCTAGGGGTGCCAGGAACCCTCGTGGGGACCATATCCCAAAACGCTGGACACAGGGCTCGGAGCTGAAGCCCAGCAGTCGGGGCCAGCCTGGGTTCCGGAGGGTTCCAGAAAGGCTTCTGTGACTACCAACCACTCCTGCTCATGAATCCCCTGTCCACTCCCAAGTGTCACTTGTGTGGTCCCAGTTCTAAAAGCCCAGTGACCCAGGTGTCAGTTCTAGGCCACTCAGCACACACTTCATAGCAGCCCCTTTATTCTCTTGATGGTGACACAGTGGATGTTAAAGTAGCACTAGGTCCTCTCTCTCTGTGGTCACTGCTAACCTGAAATGTAGGGATTTGCTCGCTGACGTCTCTTTCCGCCACCATCAAGAGCACGTGGACTTAAATGAACAGTATGTCTACCCATGTATTTCAGGGGGTGCCTGGGACTATGTGGAGAGGCCACACCTACTTTAATTAGGTGGGCAGGGAGGTTCCCTTTGAGACCTGAAGGCCACGAAGGAGCCAGCTATGCAAAAGGCTTGGGGAAGGCATTTCTGGCTGAGAGACAGCAAGTGCAAAGGTCCTGAGGCAGGAAATGGCTGGATATATGAGGAAAAGCAAGAAGACTGAAGTCAGGCTTCCTTTCTAGCACGATAGAGAACCTCCCGGTTGTATAGGGGAGGGCAGAATCTTTGTTCCTTTAAAAAGTTTTTAATAGACTTTTAAAAAAATCCTCACCTGAGGATATATTATTAATTTGAGAGAGAGAGAGAGAGAGAGAGGAGGGGGGGAGAGGGAGAGAGAATGTGAGAGAGAAATTTGAATTGGTTGCCTCCCGTATGCGCCCCAACTGGGGATCAAACCCGCAACCTAGAAATGTGCCCTGAGCAGGAATCAAACCTGAAACCTTTTGGTGGACAGGACGATGCTCTAACTAACTGAGCCACCCGGCCAGGGCTGAATAGACTTTTTTTGGAGCATTTTTAGGTTTACAGAAAAAGTGTGCAGAAAACACAGAGTTCTCCTCCTACAGTTCCCCCTCTTATCATCTCATTAGTGTGGCACACTTTCTACAGTGATGAGTCGATCCTGATACGTTGTTATTATTATTTTCAAGAAGAGCAGTTTATTTTACATTTGTTGCTTCTAAAAAGGGAGAGACAATGATTTGTTTTCATTATGTGTGCATTCATTGGTTGATTCTTGCGTGTGCCCTGACCAAGGATTAAAACCAGAACCTTGGTGCATCCGGACGGACGATGCTCTAACCAGCTGAGCTACCAGTCAGCGTGATGCATTGTGGTTGTTAACCGAAGTCCATAGTGAACGTTAGGGTTTGCTCTTCGTGTGGTACATCCTGTGGCTTTTGACAAATGCACAATGACATGCAGCCACCATTACAGTGTCACACAGATGAGTTTCATGGACCTAAATGTCCCCTGTGCTCCATCTATGCACCCCTTCTTCCTCCGCACTCAGGCTGCTGTGAGGCGGGTGGGTTGGTTGTAGGGCAGAATAAAGAAGGGGGTGGTGGTGAGAGGGGGCAGGGGTCCCAGAGGGTGTGTAGGGGAGAGGATGGGGAGGGGACTGGCCCACGGCACCCCTGACCCCCTTGCCTCTCTCTGCTCAGGGCTGCGCTGCTATGCCAAGTTCCACCGGAACCGCAGGGTCACACGGAGGAAGGGGCGCTGCGTGGAGCCCGAGACGGCCAACGGCGACCAGGGATCCTTCATCAACGTCTAGTGGCCCAGACTGAGGCGCCTCCCCGCAGGCCTGGGGACGGAGCGCTGGAGGTTTGGAGAAGCGACAGTTTGTTTATAACTAGCGGTGGGGGAGCAAATGGGGGACCAGATGTCTGAGGCTGCAGGCTCCGACCCAGGACCCGATCGAGGACCCGCAGCCCCGGGAGGGGAGCGCTGGGGTACTGCCTCTGCCCAGGAGCCGAGCAGCAGCTCGTCTGCAACCCACACCCCTGAGGGACCCGCAGGGCCTGAGCAACCCGTGCCCTGTTCTCCGCGATGGCAATGTCGATAGTGCCCTCTACTGTCCGACCGCAGCACTGCAACAGCTTCGAGTTTTAAAAGTGAAGAGGTTTTTGAACAGAAAAGAAATGGGAACTTGGGTGGGAGATGAACACAAAACACCTCTTTTGTGCCAGGCACTGCGCTAAATGCGTGACGTACGTTATCCCGCGACCTTTTCACCGTTTTACAGGTGAGGAAACAGCCACCGTTGAGTCATCAGACCTGTCCGAGGTCCCAGCTCAGTGCTCCTCAAACCTTGACCTGTGTACCAGCCCTCTGGGGTCGGGTGCAAATTCAGATTCCTACTCAGCCGATTCTGCCTTTCCCACAAGCCCCACTGAGAGCTCCCACCGTGTCTTGGGGAGCAGATGTGGAGTTGTGATCGGAACCTGGCCCAACGTTGTCGGGCTCCACAGCCCGCGTTCTTGCTCCTTCACAGCTAAGGACTTACTGCAGGCTCTCCAGGGCTTTCAGCGAGAGAGGCGTGTGTCCTGCTAGTCCTTCCTCTGGGTGAAGCTGCAATGACTGACCGCTCTCCTCCTTCCCTGGACAAGGGGGCATCATCTTTCAAACAGAACCAAATCTGCGCTAAACACCTGCTTGTCTGGACGGCGTGGTCTGGGCAGATGGGCCCCTGCCCCCCGGGAGCTGACAAGCTGAGCTGGGACGGGTTCCTCGGATTCCTCCCGCCCTGCTCACCCTGTCCTGGGACATGTGCCTCAGAGTTGCCCCAGCACCGTCCACCCCTGGGGTTCTTTAGCTTTTTTAAAAATATATTTTTACTGATTCCAGAGGGGAAAGGGAGAGAGAGATAGAAACATCAGTGATGAGAGAGATTCATGGATTGGCTGCCTCCTGTACACCCCCCATTGGGGATGAGCCCACAAGCTGGGTATGTGCCTGACCAGGAATCAAACCGTGACATCCTGGTTCATAGGCTGACACTCAACCACTGAGCCAAACCAGCCGGGCAGTTCTTTAGCTTTTGTAGTTCGTGCCCTTGGAGAATGTAATGCAAGCAGGGACTCAAAGCACACACACATCGCCTGTAGGCACCCTATACCTTAGTGGCTCCCAGGCCTCCCAGAGACCATGCCAGGACCCCCACCCCACACTTCTGCCACAAAGCCCACTGAGGAGTTGGGGCTCTCTGAGGTTGAGGTGCTTGAGGACACCTGCCCCCCACAGGCCAGACCCAGGATGCCCACCCAGAACGTCTCTCCACGCAGAGCTGGCTCTAGGGACCGCCTGACTCCCCCCACCTGGCATCTCATTCCTGGCCAACTCTCTGGTCCAGGGCAAACCAGGTCACAACTGACAAAAGCCCTGCCCATCTGGATTCCTTGCACCTGCTGGGGCCGGCGGTTGGGGGGGGGCACGCCCACAGGATGCCAGGGCTGTTTACTCCCCTGGGAAAATCAGTTGGGGTCAGGGGTCTGGCACAAGGAACACAGACTCATCTAGCAGAAACCAGATAGGCTTGCTCTTTTCTCCTGTTCCAGTTCGATGGGCATGGGCCTCTTGCGGGTGAGGCGGTGGAACTGAAAGAGATCAAAGCCGGCTCTTTGGAAATGGAACCCTGAGTCCGCCAGCAGATTGACTGTTAGGGAGCAGACAACGCCTCTGCTGTGTGTGCCTCTCGTGGGTGGCTGGTTGGAGACTGTGATCGAGCCCTAAGGGTGTGGCTGCAGGCAGGCCATGCAGCGTGAAGTCTGGCTGTCAGGTGGCCCTGGACATCGGCAGTGGGAAGCAGAAGGTCAGGACAAAGCTGAGAGGCCGCAGGGAACTATCACTGCCCTCAGGGGAGTTCCATGGCTAAGAAGTGACCTGGCTTGTCTGCATTTGGCATTTGCCAAGTGGGGTGGGGGTGGGGGTGGAACCTTTTATCTCCAGGGGGGTCCCAAAGCCCCCTCAGTGTTTAACAAACTTCTCTGACAAGAAGTTCTTTTTCACCCTGACCGGTTTGGCTCAGTGGATAGAGCATCGGCCCGCAGACTGAAAGGTCCCAGGTTCGATTCCGGTCAAGGGCATGTACCTTGATTGCGGGCACATCCCCAGTAGGAGGTGTGCAGGAGACAGCTGATTGATGTTTCTCTCTCATCGATGTTTCTAGCTATCTATCTCTCTCCCTTCCTCTCAGTAAAAAATCAATAAAATATATATTTTTAAAAAGTTCTTTTTATAAATATGTTTTTATTGATGTTACAGAAAGGAAGGGAGAGGGAGAGAGAGATAGAAACATCGATGAGAGAGAAACATTGATTGGCTGCCTCCTGCACGCCCCCAACCAGGGATCAAGCCTGAAACCTGGCCATGTGCCCTGATCAGGAATCAAACCGGTGACCTCTCGGTTCATAGGCCAACACTCAACCACTGAGCCACCCTGGCCGGGCAGCCAGGAAGTTCTTTCTTGTTTTCTGTGGGGGGAGAGGGGAGAGTTCTTTCTTAGGTCTATCTTAACTTTCTTCTGCTGGTACAGAAGCCAGTTTTCTCTGATCCAGGGGGTCAGCAAACTTTACCAGAAAAGGCCAGAATGTTCCCATAAAACTATCTATGGACACTAAGATGTGAATTTCATATAATTTTCACAGGTCACAAACTGCTGTTCTTCTGTTGATTTTCTAAAGCACATTTAAAAATGTAAAACCTTGCTTGTGAGCAACACAAAAATCGGCAGTGGGTTGGATGTGGCCCACAGGCCACGGTTTGCAGATTCTGCTCTAGTCCACTAGTCTCAGCCCGCGCAGGACGTTAGAATAACCTGGGCAGCCTTCAAAGGCACCGGTGTCCAGGGGCCACCTGCAGAGTCCACTGTCGTTGGTCAGGGTTGTGTCTGGGTTCCCTGTGTTTTCAAGGCTCTGCAGGTGACTAGCGTGGAGCCGGGCCCGAGAGCTGCTCCAGGCCTGCTCCACCTCTCACCACCTTCCTGACCTTAGGGAAGTTCCTTAAGGTCTCTGTGCCTTGATTTCTTCATCCATATAATGGGGACAAGGGGTATTGTGAGAAGTAATTGCAAATCCTTATAACGTGCTTCTAACAGTGCTGGGCACATAATGAGCCCCCAGTGTTAGTTGATTTATTTTCCAGGATAATGTTAGGAGGTGTTTCATTCTTTGCTAACGACCCATCGCATCGTCAAAGATCATTTCTAAGTCACCACTCAGTCTCCTTCCCTGAAGCGTGTCCCCTGGACCACCGGGGCCATGAGATGCTCCGTCAGAAAAGAGGACGTGGCTTCTGGGTCCGAGGTTTGGAGAACTGCGTGCACGGACTCCGGGCGGAGCTGGAGGTGTGAGGTGTGCGCGGCTTGAGATAACAGATTCATGAGTTTTTAAAAATGCACACCCCCCCACCCCCCACCCCCCACCCCCCGGGGGCGGAGAGCTGAGCAGCGGGCCAAGTGGAAACCAGTAGCTGCTGGGACAGTCACAGGGCCCTCCTGCATTCCTCCCGTGGCGTCGTACCGCCATTCCCCAGAGATAGTCGCCGTTCCCACGGGGCTGCCTTTCCAGGATTTGTCTGGTGGCTCCCCAGGCTGCTGGGAATGGCCTGAGGTCAGAGGCCACGAGGGCCACGCCTCCTGGGAAAGAGGCCGCTTCGCTTTGGGGTGTAACTGAGACACAAGTCGGATCGCAAAGCCACGACCCCCCTCCACCTCGGAGATGCTTCGGGTGGCTCTCCCTCCCAGCAGGTCCAACACCCCCAGTACATCGATGCTGCGTGGTGGGCGCACAGCCCCGGAATGGGGTTCCCTGTGCAGCTGGAGGGAGGGCAGAGATCCACGTGCCCTGCAAGGAACGTGTTGATTCACAGAACAGCGAGGGAAGATGGTGCTGGGAGAGGTGGTGAGAGGGACCAAAGAGCAAAGCATTTCACAGGCTGGACGGGCACGTCACCCCTGTGGTGACCGTCACTCCCGTGGGAGATGGCGAGGAGGGTGTCTGAGTGTGTGTGCGCTGCGGAGGGAGCGGCAGGGACTAGCGGTTTGCAGAACCGGTGCTTCCATTGTGTGTTTTCTGCATTCTGTCAGGATGGCTGCTGGGGTTTAGGATCCGGGGCCTCCCTGGGAGGCTTCCTAGTCCCTCCTTATTCCCAGGGCTCAGGACCCAGCCGCGTGGCATGGCCTGGAGCCGCGGGGAGATGCAGGCCCCGGGGCCCACCTGCTGAATCAGAATCTCGGGGGAGTTTGGACGATTTCTCCGGGCCGTTCCCACGCGCTGTACCTGAGAGACAGGTCTGGGGAGGGAACTGTTGGGCCAGGGACACGGGGATGATTCAGGGACATTCACAGTCAGGGGGGAGTTGTCGGTCCAGTTGGCCCAGTTACCTGGCCATGACGAACTGGGAGGCCCTGCCTCGGGCCGGAACTGGTCTTTATTTTTAGAGAAAATCAAGTGGGGCGCCTGGGCCAAGGGCCCTCAGTTGGGTGTTCTGACTCTTAGGACCTTCCCGGGGGGTCTGCGGTCCCTCTTTAAAGTGGGAGGGGGGTGCTACGCCCTCGTAGTCCTGTGTTGCATGTGGTCTCTTGCGCTGTAAATAAAGAGATGATGGTTAATACGCCGCCTTGCTGTCTCTCTCTGCCCCTCCAGGAGGCGGGCTGTCTGTGCCAGCAGTGAACACGGTCAGGACTCCACCTGCCATGTCTCTTGCATTTTCTCACCCTCACCTTTTACTGAGCGTTTGCTCAGAGCTAAGCAGTAAACCAGGCAGACGGGGCCTCTGCCCTCACCTGGGCCTCGCTGTGGTCCTTCGACCAGACCTTGTGGGTGGGAGTTTCACACCTTCATCTCCTTCCCCATCTTAGGGTTGGGGCAGCCAAGGTCCCACAGAGATGACGGGGCTGGTCACCGCAGGCCGGCCTCTGGCAACCTCCTTCCAGGCCTGGGCGGCCGAGTGCCGAGAAATACTGATGCCAACTTTGGCAGGACGGGGAAGAACTCAGGAACGCCATCGAGGCTGGGCCGGGCAGGCCCCGATGCATCTTGGGAAAGCATGCGCTGGCGAGGGGGTGGCCTGGCTTTGCACCGGGAAAGGCGTCTCTTGTCTCCGTGGCAGCTGCAGCCAGCCCTGCTCAGCTCCCTTATCTATGCTTTCACTTTCCGT